TTGTTGTGTTGTGTGTGTGTGTGTGTGTGTGTGTGTGTGTGTGTGTGTGTGTGTGTGTGTGTGTGTGTGTGTGTGTGTGTGTGTGTGTGTGTGTGTGTGTGTGTGTGTGTGTGTGTGTGTGTGTGTACCTGAAACCTGTCCTTCTACCGTCCCTTCTTTTACGAAATGAGTTATGATACCAAATTTGAGGAGAAGGAATAATACTACGAAGACAGAGAGATGTTTTCCTGAAGGAAGATACAGCCAAACAAGGCCGGAGACAAGCGCAAAGTGGAGGTCCGTGATAAAACCCGGTCGAGTCCGGAATAAAAGGATCTCGGCACGAAGGTCGATTCGGGGCACTTAGCCCCGTTTCTCGTCGGACACGGTGATGATGTATGGCTCTCAACGATAGAAAATGTTATGGCGGAAGGACTCGGAGGTACGACCTCGTTTCCCCGGTGGAAGCCCCGGGGCCCCTTGCCGAGGTGACGGAGGAAGGAAGGAAGAAAGGAAGGGCGATCGGGGCGGGTGAGGAAGGAAGGATATCTAAAGATGGCCGTCGCCTCGTAACTCCTCGGGATATATACGTTCTTTTGCCGACGTAGATGGGAAGAGGATAAACGGGAAGAGAGAACGACGGCGGGAGAGAGTGGAGAACGCGAATCCGCGCACGTGCGCACGCCGAGACGCGATGCGACGAACACGCGCGCCTGGTAACGCAAAGTATATACGCTGCGCCTCGTAATCCATAGATATCGGCTCGCCGTCGGTGCCTTCGTGTTATTGCACGAGGTTTATCGGATAACTCTGCCTCTTCATCCCCCTTTCTCTCGTCCCGATTTCTCTCCCCTTCGCCAGCCTCGGCGCGACAGCGACGATGCGACAACGCGGCGGAGAAACGCGGGGAGAGAGAGAGAGAGAGAGCGGGACAAACTAACCGATGATTGGTACCTTATGAAAATTTGTTTGCCCGTGGGCGAGAGATCCGCGATGAATCGAGGATGAATTGGCTGCACGACATATAAAAGACGTCGTCTCGTCGTCTACGGAACTCCGCACATACGGAGAGATATTCGTGAGACCGGCGACATCAAACGTGCGTTTTACATGCAATAAGCCGAGTTAATTGGGAAAAAAAAAAACAAAAAAAAGCGCGCGCGCGGGCCGTACATAAAGGGACATCGGCGAAATAAATTAGTTCGTTTTCCGAGTATCGAAGGGAAATTATACGACCGACGCTGACGATGAAACGACACGCTCGCCTTACGCGCCCGCCTGTGCGCGGACGCGTACGTAAATTCGCTAAGAACTACGCTACGTCGCATTATTGGATTTCTCTTCGATTTCTATCATTCCACCGGAGTATCTCGTGTATTTGTGCCTTCCACGCTTTTCTCTCCACAAGCGTACTTTTTATTCCTCGATTCCCTCCTTTTTTTGCAAGAAAGATGAGACAACAGTGGACCTCCCCACAAATTCTCCAGTTTGCGATAAAGACAGACCCGTCTTGTATTCTCTTGTTCTCACATATCCTTTACGCCTGCGTTACGATTGCCAATATAACATTTCCGCGATGCGTATTTTTCGGTTTTTTTTTTTTTTTTTTTTTTTCAGTAAATGAGCCGCAATCAGATTCGAGAGATAACGGAAAGTACCGCGCTGCTTGAAACAGCCATTGTAAATAGCCTCAATCCTTCATCGCCGTCTTCGCGAGTTTATTTCGTTATTTTGCAAAATATACGATCCTGACGACGCCGACGACGTGAAACGTACCGTGGACACGGTTTCCTCGGATTTTCTACTCTTTTACGCGTTACGACATTTCTCCATCGCGCTTATACATACGCGCGTACACCGACTCGTTCCTAGCTAGCTCTTCGCTGGTATTCCTAGAATAAACGCGGAATCGTAGATAAGCCGGTGCACGTGCGAGGAGCAGCGGAAAGCGGAGGAGTGCGAGAAAGCGAAGCGTTTCTTTGCCATTCCCTGGAAAATACGTACCAGGTTGCATCGACATCCCCTCGTCATTCGATACCCTCGGTATTCCGGAGAGCCGGGAGACACACATGCCGGAAATGACGTCGGGTGGGCTCGACGTGTGCGGGGAGCGAAATAAGCAAATAATACGCAGGACCGTATCCGGGGGGGGAAGAACCGGACCGGAGAGCGGAAGATGTAGAGAGGAGAGATTTCGCCGATCGGATCGTCCGAAAATGTCGCCGCTGCGCGATCGCATCGGGATCCTGAATGGGATCCGTCCGAACATCGGATCGAACACTGGCGCCGTGCCAAATAAACTCGAACGGGGTTGGGGGGGGGGGTTGAGTGTGCGCGTAATGTCGCGCGGGGCGCACACGGCCAGCAACACGCCCGTATATCATCCGTTATGCGTTCGAGGCGATCGTTAAAGTTAAATCCAGAGATCGCAAATCCTTGTTCAGTGCCTTCGAGGTTGGCCGTGACGTTCGTTAAATATTGTTTCCACCGTCGTAAGTGCTGTACTAATTTCCGAGTAGTAATT